GCGGTAATCATCTTCCTTCCTTCAGGCTCCCGGTATAGAAGCCTGAAGGATTCCATGGTAGCTTCTGGACTCGCCGTCAGAACCCGGGCAGCTTCGGCCTTGTTTTCTTCAACCCAGGCGGCTGCGCGCCCGGGGAAGTTTTCTTCCTTCTCCGCCATCTCTCTTTTTGCTTCAGAGACCTCGTCCAGCAGCCGGCCATTCTCCTCCTTCAGTTGGGAGATCTCAGTCTTCATTGCCCCGGCCAGCCGGATCAGCTCATCAGCCTGGCTCCTCAGGATGAGTGCCATTTCTTCCTTCTCCTTCTTCAGCCGGTCGACTTCAGAAGGGGAACTCGTCCCCAGCCGGTCCACTGTCTGCGGCCCGATCTCCCCCGCCTGCACAAAAACGGAATAGACCGGTAAGTCTCTCGTTAAAAAAAAACAAACAAAGACCGGGATGGCGTCAAGACTTACCTCCTTCAGCCTCAACCCCAGAGTGATGAAGGCTTCTTCGATGGTCTGACCGGCCGGCTCAGAATCCTGCCTAGCCCTCTTCTTGGCGTAAGAAGGGTGCGTGGTGGCCACCTTCTTAACCCGGCGACCGGCCTTCTCCTTCTCCTTCCCCTTAGACCGGTTGTCTTGGGGCTCATCTTCATCCAGGATTTCCACGGTCTCTGGATTGACCGGGAAAGTCCTGGCAGGATTGGCTTCGGAGCCCCCGGTCTCCCCGGCTGGTTGGTCGTCAGGGATGGCGAACTCATCAAACTCCATATCTGCAAAACAAACTAAAACCATTAAGTGCGAATACTTTGGCCGGTCAACTGCGAATCACAAAAAAAAATGAAAAATACCTGGGTGAGAGTTGCCCTCAGCCTCCGCAGTGTTGCCCGGGGAGGGTACCCCGCGCCCCGCTGCGTCATGGGCCGGGGAGGTACCCTCGCCACCCGAGTCGGCCCTCCAAACCCAGCTGCCATAATGAAACGTCCTCCCGGTGAAAGGATCCCCACGCATGAGGACCTCAAGATTCGCTTCAAAGTCTGGGGAGGAAGCCGGTGCAGTATACTCTTGGTCGAGCAGATGGTCATTCCATTTCAGACCGGCCAGAGGAGTGAAGAAGGGGGGAAACTCGATGAAGACAAATTTTTCCTTCCATCCCCGGTTACTCTGGGGGACTTCGGAAATGAACTTCCTACCGGTACGGGCTTTGAAGAATACAAAGCCTTCGCAGCCGGATCTGCCCGGTAGGACTTCGAAGCAAAAAAGGAAAAGACGCAAAGAAGGGAAGATTTTGAGATGGGTACAAATATTTACAAAGGAGTGGAGGTACCGGTGGGCGTTAGGAGTTATTTGGCCGGGCAGAATCCTAAACGCATGGCAAACCTCAGTAAGGAGGGGGCGAAAGGGAAAAACTATGCCCGCGTCCAGGGAAATGGTATGGAACCCTATCCTATCCTCCCGGTGGGGTTCAACGATGTTGGGCTAGTTGGGTTCGTAGAGGAGGGTATACCCATCCGGGAGCCTCCTACGGATTTTATTTAAAGCAATTTTGGACACACGGGAAGGTATGTCAAGGACGTAGAAGGTGGGGAGTGGAAAGTAACCGGCAGCATGAAGCCGCGCCTCCCACGCATCCCGGGTTTCGTGTTCGGGATCATAGGGACCCGGTTCGTCATCAACCAGGTCATCCCTCCCCTCGAAGGTTTCACCGGGCACCTGATTTACAGGATGCGGGTCGGGAATGGGGGAGTTGGGAACCTGACCGGGCGAAGAGTTCAGAGAAGAAGACCCGGTCGAGGAAGAGGAGTTGGAATTCTCAGAGGAGCAGTCCTCTGAGGAAGAGACCCTATCGCTAGGAGAAGACATGACCGGGAAAGTAGAGAAGGAAGGGGACACTTACTTGGCTCGGAGGGCTGGATAGCGAAAGAGAAGAAACTTGACCGGTGAAAGCTCTGAGACTTGATCGCGGAAAGTGAACAAAGGAAATGGGTTGAAGGCCTTTATATAGGAGGAGAGGAGGCCAAAGGGAGCGACGTGGCCACGCGAGAATACGCCGCGTCAGGCGGCGCAATGATGACCCACTGGCAGGCGAAACGGCAGGTCTGCAGCCGATTGATTGCAACGGTTGGTGCGCGACACGTGGCAAAAGTCAGAGTTTGAAATTCAAATTTCGAAAATTTTAGGCGGGAAGGGCCAAAATTTCAAAATTGGAGTCCTGCTTCAGACTTTTTACTTCCCGCTCATGACAAATTGCACGACCGAGAAGTGGAGGGCTTATTGATGGGTGTATTTCACCCAAGACCGGTCAAAGGAGAAGGCCAAATCGTTGACCGGTCAATCTCGAGAGTTTTGGAAGGGAGACTTAAATCGTCAGCAAAACGACATATCATCGGCCAAAATATGACCGGTATACTTCACAAAAAAGTATACCGGTCAAACTACGTTGTCGTCCTATTTATTCCAGACTTCGATAAATTCATCCCTCGGA